GCCGCCCGCGAGCCCGCTGCGGGCAGGGCTGTGGCGGCCGAGGCGTGCCCGGGGCTCCCTCTGCTTCCCTCTGTCCGCGGAGCTCGCAGGACATCTCTTGGCGCATCCTTGCGCATCTCCTGCGGCTTCACCGTTAGCTTGCGGGGGAAGGTCACGCCAGCGTCCGTGCCGACACCGAGATCTGACGCCAGCCGATGCAGCGCGGCGGGCAGAGACAGCCGGGAGATTCACGTTGGGGATATTTAGCCTTCTGACTGTACTGTGCAGCCTGTGCTCGGAACCTGTGTCACACTAATAAAGTTTTTAAGAACGCATTACGGTGTTCGTTACTGTTCATTTATTAGTGCTCTTACCTGAAGAGCTGTTGTAGACAAACGCTAGAAAGAACTTACAAACCCCAAGCAGTGGCATATGAAAACTGAAGATAGCGTGTATAAAAAAAAACCCTGCAAAATACTTGTTGGTGATTGTGGGGAAGGACTTCACGGACCCCAGTCTTGTGCTCGATCAGAATCACAGAATGGTAGGGGTTGGAAGGGACCTCTGAGGGTCATCATTTCATTGCTCAGGTGAACACCTAACATACTAACAGTGGTTACAGGAGCCAGTCAGCTGTGGATTCGGGGCTTTGCGAATGCCAGCTCACGGCTGCAGTTTTCCAGGATCTTTTGCAGCTGGAGGTGTGCAAGCAGCTGATCTCCTGAGAAGGGAGGCGCAGGATGCGCGGATCCTTCAGGGTCGTGAGACGGCGCCGTTCTGTCCCAAGTTGCACGGTTTCCCACAAGTGATGCTTCGTGAGGGCCTTCACAGTCCCATCAAGATCCAGGTGCAGTTTTTCCCTTTGGTTTTCAAGGCCGTGTCACAGTTAACTAAGACCAAACTTTACCTGTGGGCTCCCACCGTGTTGGGAAGCAGCTGAAAGGTTGAGATTTAGCTCAAAAGCAAAACAAATCGGTTTAATTTATTACCGAGTTGAATCAGAGTAGGATAGTGAGAAATAAAACAAAAACTCTTACAAACACCACTCCTCCCTTCTTCCCAGGCTCAGCTTCACTCACGGTTTTCTCTCCCTCCTCCCCCCCGGCAGCACAGGGGGATGGGGAATGGGGGCTGCGGTCAGTTCATCACACGTCTCTGCTGCTCCTTCCTCCTCACACTCTGCTCCTGCTCCAGCGTGGGTCCCCCGTGGGGTCACAAGTCCTGCCAGCAGACCTGCTCCAGCGTGGGCTCCTCTCTCTCTACAGGTCTGAGGTCCTGTCAGGAGCCTGCTCCAGCACAGGCTCCCCATGGGGTAACAGCCTTCTTCAGGCACCCCCCTGCTCCGGCGTGGGGTCCCTTCCACGGGCTGCAGGTGGAGATCTGCTCCACCGTGGACCTCCATGGCTGCCGGCGCAGACTCT